GACAGCCCTCTTATTATGTATCAGATAACTTGACCAATGGGCCAAATTCCCAAAACCGTACGTGCAGTCCATTCAAACCTAATACCACTTTACACAGCTCCCAGGTTAAGATGTTTTTCCCTCTTTTTGGCAGACAGCACACGCCTTGTCAGTGACCTCACGTCTGCTTGTGCCAGTTCATAAATCTGTAGGACTATGCCATATGCAGCTGATTTACTTGTCATATTTATAAAGATGAATATTTCCTCGTGTGATAGAGGTGGTAAAAGCTCCTTGGACTCCTATGTCAGTGTGTTTTGAGTGACCCTGCCATGTGCACACACAGCTTGAAGGCAGCTATAGTGAAAGACTACACCATAGATTAGACACACAAACAATGGTGAGGGGAGAGACACAGTGATTGAAACAGTGATCGGTACAACACTAATGCCACCATACAAAGTGAATCATGTACCCAATCACTCACAGTGGACACACAGTCATAGCATCACCACTAAAACCAACAAATGAGCTGGTGAGATGAGTGCAGGCATGCATGAACGGAGTGAGCAAATTAACACCCAAGGGCCCCACTTCCAACAATCAGTCCCATTCTAAAAGTGAGTAATCAGTATGTCAAATCAGATATTGAAATTTGGGGCAATGTTTATTAAAGACAAAGTCCAATTATGTAGACTTTGTTTTTAAGATTAAAATCAAAGTCACCCCCTAATTAAACCTCAGCAAGATGTTAGCTCTAGACCCTAGATCAAAGAGCCTTCTCTCCCCTCTAGTTAAAAGTGTAAATCTACAATTTAATTAGGTAATGCAGAACTTCTGATGCACAGCCCTCTAAAGCATACTGATGCCTTTAAGAAAACCCTAACCTAAGGCTACAGCCACAATGTTATGTTTTTAAAATGCCAATCTTTATTTTAACACCATTTCAGAAATGATCTCCGTCCATGATGAAATGCCTGAAAATAACAGGGCTGCGAGGAATCAAGAAATGACACGTCATGACTTATAAGACCTAATTAGTCATTGTTTATAAAAGTATCTGTTTCTACCCATCCAGACTAAAACACAATCCCTGAGTTTTAACAAGACATGAGGTCATTTCCAGAGTAGAAATCGTGGTAGTGTGGATGTAATATAAAACACTTGATTAAGCCTGGGGAAGGACTGGGGTTTCAGTTTTAAAAAAAAATATTGGGGCAACCGAATGCTTAAAACTAAAACAACATTACTGCAACGTTTATGGTTTGATTGCAGCCAGGGACCTTTGTTACATGTCATACTCCTTTCTCCCCCGTTGTTTCCAATGAAAGTGAAAATGCAAAAAAAAAACATTAACTGATGGATTGTAACAGGATGCAAAGAGCGATGACTTACTCAAACCGACCTTCCTGGAATGTATTTCATCAGGCCTAATTGCACATGGTCTTAATCTTCTAGAAACAAGGAAGTGAGTTTGGTGATGTATGGTTCACCATTTTGTGCAGGAAACTACAATGAAAAAAGATTTTCAAATTCTTGTCAAATTTGCAGAATGGTTGCGGTGTTGCAACTTCCGGGATTTCTTTTTGATATCTTTTTAGTGCCCTGACAACTTTGGCCTAAACTCCTGCTAAGGCTTATATCATCAGCTAACCACCTTGCCTAGTGCAGCATTAAAGCATTTCACTTTATTGCAGAAGACAACTGAAATCAGGGCAGATCAACAGTCTGCTTCCCAAATCAAAACCTTTGGGTTGTAAAATGTAATGTTTTTTTTTTGTTAATTTTGTCACAACATTGCCCGCCATCCAAATGTTCAACCTTGATAGATTCTGCACTTGTCTAAGTTAATTATATAACATAGAATGGGTGCAGTGCTCTTACACCAGCCCTATGCATGTAGATCCATGGGGTCTACTAGACAAGTGCAGGCCTTAGAAAAAAAGGGAGGAGAACTGGGATAAACGGATGAGGAGGTGACTTGACAGGCGACATGCAACACATCGTGCAGAGACCAGACCAGAGAGGGAAGTGTTAACGAGAAAGTAGACTGTACCATGCTGTCTGTAGATGGGGGGTTTTCTATAGATATTATCTTTGACCATAGTCTCTGAAGATGGGAACAGACGCAGAGGAAAGAAAATGGAAGAAGCCAACATAGGAGGTAGAGAAAGAAAGAGAGAGAATGGAGAAAAAGAAGCATGAGTTAGCAGTTATTGAGAGATGAGGTATTTTGAAGCAGCAGAAGGGGGATCGCAGTAGAGCTTGATTCAACAATTCACAAGACATTTGTCATTTTTTTAAGGCACATCAGAAACATCAACACTTTTAATATAACTCATGCAACATATTCAACATATATCATTGGTCTTTGTTGAATGGGAGGTTATTTGATGCAGAACAATTCAGTGACACTCAAAGAATAATATCTGAAACCACACATGGTCCCCAGACATCAAACAGTCTAGTTGTATTAGCATTCTTTGGGGAGATTTTCAAATTAAAACAAAAAGGCCACCTAAATTAATAGTATAAACATCACAACAATAGAGGAAAAGTTGAAAGTTAATTGAAGTCTTGTTGCATTAACTGTACTGTTAGATGAAGTGCCTCTGGAGGATAATGGGGACAGCATGTTTTACCCTAAAGCTGATCTAATCCATTTTAGTGTCAGTGGACCCAGACAGGCCTCTGACAGAGATGCTTAGTAACAACTGTCACACATTAAGCCACAGCAGAAACATGACTCACAATAAAACAACACATCTGGGTTTTTTTCCCTGGCTTGTTTCAGTGCCTGCCAGCATCTGAAACAATATCCATATAAAAGCAATAAGGACGATGACTATGAAAGCCATTAAGTGGATAATCGCTGGCTGTTTTTTCCACTTAACTTGCTTCCAACATGGGAGGGTTTTTTTTTCCTCTGCATGACTGACAGTGTAATTGTCAATGGGAACAATATGTTGAATCAAACGTATTTTCCTGGACTGGACTGGAAGTAATGAAGGATATACTGTTTAGCGTCAACTCCTGTCCCAATATACTGTAAATATAATTGTAAGTGATGCAATCTCATGTCGGATCATTGCTGTGTCAAGAAAAAAATGCTTTGAAATTAGCAAACAGTAGGGACATCGGAGAGGAAAGAGTCCTAGAAAACAATCCATAAGACAAAGGCAAGTCGACTGTAATTTTCTCGTACTTTCTCCTCAAATTCACAGTAGTCCAGAGGTCACAAATGGGGCTAAATGCTCTGTAGTTTAGTCTGCAGTTATAAAATCCAAAGCTGTGGCATACCAAATGCTGTGCAGGTGTTTAATCATGTAAATAGTTAATCCCTTGACATCAGATGAAGCCATTTGTTTTTTATATATATACGTTATATTTAAGGGTTTTTAAGTTTTTTCATTTAAAATGGTTTGCTAAATCGGAATTGGAAGACTCATAATAATAAAATAAACATAACAGGTTTAGGAAAGAATATGAAATTGTTCATCCACGAGGGCCCATATGCTTCATATGACAGCTTTACAAGAATGATCTGCATGTACCTGGAAAGAAAGCGGTCCAATGCACAGTAAAATAAAGGTCTAATCTGGTCAAAGTTAGCTTACATGTTAAACATGAATCAGTAGCTGAACACGAAATAAAAATCTTACATTTATACATCCTAACCTCCATTGGTTGATTGATTTTCACCTTGCTGTAGTAATCGCTGCTGGGCAGGTTAGAGATAAAACAACTTGACTTTAACCTATCAACTACAGGTCAGTGAAATAATGCTGTTCAGCTTGGTGTTAGTATGATATAATTTACCACTTAAAGAGAGATTCTAGTGGTAAAGTTGGGATCAATTATTTTTGGAAAGCTTGTTTTTTGTTTTGTTACAATGTCATTACCTTGTAATTCCATGTCACTAATGACAGCCTACTCTATAAATAGTGTAAAGACGTAGGAAAAATTAAAAGTTGAGTTGCGAGCCAAGCGGTGCGGCTATGGCCTACCTGGTATGTGGAAATGCCGGGGAGCAGCCATGTATGTAGAAGTGGAGGAGGGGGATTTGCCATCAGAATAGGTGGATAAGCTGGGGGTACTCCGACCACTTTCACTACCTCCAGTTGGGAACGGAGTTTGGCGGGCATTGGATATGAGAGGCAAAAGGGAAAGGGTTTGGGAGAAAACAAAGGGCATAGGGGGGCAAAAAGGCAGCGTTATGGTAAGCATATTGATAAATCTCAAACATGAAGCTGTGATTATTACAATGATGCAGGTGACTTGATAACCCAGCCATTTACTGTACTTATATTTACTGTTCTGAAACAATGTCTTGAACAAATTCACCAAATTTTTGATAGAGAATCCTCCTGGTCTACTGACCTGTTAAATGGTGAGAAACACAAATAAGCCAGTAGTATTTTCAAATGCTACCACTTTAGCATAGTCTAGCATAGCATCCCTAAGCAAGTATCCTAGGTCTCCTGCAAATCTGTCACATCTGGAACCTCCACAGGAAGGCAAGCTAGGTACCTGAAAAAGTACTATCAAATTAGACCACCTACCCTTCACAGAAACCTCTCTTTTGCAGTGTTTTATTCATTTTACCCAAAGCTTGATGACTGTAGGTGAGGGTTGGAATGAAGACTGGCCAGTAAATTGACAACTTTCCTTTAACCACAGTACAATGTCAAGCCAGAATTACTACTGCTGCTTCTAACTTGCTGTCAATATCACAAACTCTTTTACCCTCACTTGTGAAGGAGACCCAATAACAGACCCTCCACTTGGGGCACTGGATTGAGCAATCCACCTTTTGAGATGCCAAATATGGTGACTTGAAGATACTGATCTTGGCTGTATGACACTTGCATGGTCGATGTAAATGGGTGGGCTCTGTGCAATTTGCCCGAGGGAATCAATTCAGACACACAGGATCAAAGCGCAACATCCCTATGAACGCCTGGCCACCACGAGTCATTTACACCACTTTTTCTGGCAACTCCTGCTTAAAACCCAAAAGGTTTAAGGGATTATGAGGCCCATCTTTTGTATTCATACTGAAAATCAAGATCAAGTGAGCTTTTGACCTCCTGCTCCACGAAAGGTTTCTGTCCTCCATGAGTGTTACTGGTTGACAAGTGTACTACCTCAGTCACTTGCTCCAGTTCAGAGCCTATGATCCAATGAAGCCAACAGGACTAAATACTAATCCTAGTATTACTAGTACTAGCATATCAATCGGTTTCAAACTGATCCACATATAAAAATGCACCAATGGATATTTAAAATGTTCACTCTGTTTCTAACTTCACTGGGATAATACTTCACACAAATATTTCAGATTTGGTGGATGCCTGGTCAAAAAGGTGCTGAGCTGCTGGTGGTGTGAATGTGAACGTGCCCTGAAAGAGACAGGGGACTTTTCCAGGATGTACGCTGCCTCCTGCCCAAAGTGAATTGGGGTAGGGTCCAGTCCTCTGCAACTCTGTACAGGATAAACCCAGCCCATTTTTACATCTATAGCACACACACAGGACAGCTGGTTTTGGGAAGTCCCCTGAAATGTTTGGTAACAGCTGTTGAAAGGAGCTGCTATTGTCCTGAATAGCTTATTTGAATTTTAAAGCAGCTCAGCCCTATACTGTTTTCAAAAGTTACCTCCCACTGCTGGGCCAGAGCAATGGTTTATCTGGAAGCACTGGAGGATCACAGAGACTTTGTTCTCATCATTTAACAGTTTACACTGCAAAATAACCGATTTTATGAGTATTATTGTATTAGTTTATGTGAAGGTGCCAAAATAATGGCCACCAAAGTGACTTGTACCCTATTGGTTATATGACGTTTGTCTAGTTTTTATGTGTTTTGTTGTGTGAGATTTAGATTTTGCTGACTGCATGCACGTGTGTGTTTTGAATCTGTAATCACAACCGGGGTCCACCCCGTTGTGTTACATTACAGGCAGGCTGGGTGATGGAGTCACTGACACCCTTAAGGCCAAAAGTAATAAACACTCTACATCCAGAGATTGAAGAAGAAACAGAGAGAGAGTTTGAGAGTGTGCATGAAAGAGAGTGTTAGCTGATTGAACACACACTCTCCCCCCCCCAGACAGTGAGGAACCATCGGCAGCAATCTGGATGCAAGTGGATGAGATCACTGACTCACACACAGCAGTTCTGTTAGTGCTGGTCTGAGTGATCTCCTACACGCACACACAAAAACGTACACATGCCCATAAACGCACACCAGAGTACTGTTAGTGCAGGTTTAAATGTAGGGCAGATCCTCCATACAAAACATCTGGAGTTAAAGCAGGAGGTGTTGGAGGCTTGCAAAGTTTAGGGAGGAGATGCTTTATAATTCATGTGAAAGATTACACATTTGACAAAAGGTGAAGGCCATTCATTAATCAAAAACCATTAACAGAATAACAAGGTATAAAAGATAGTTTTGGGATCATTTACAAGGAATCAGGGAGATAAAAACAAAGGCATGCCATATTCATTCTTGCCAGGTCCTTTACTCAACTCTTCATCAATTTCCATTATTAGAAAACTCATCTAAGTAGCCTGAGTCTTGCTTAAGTCTTACTACCGCAGAAAATGATCTGCAGGAACCTGATAGCTCATTAGAGCACGAGCCTGTTGCATGAAAACAAATATCCCTCTTTCACGGTATGTTAGGAACCGCTAGGGCCTGAACAAGGCTAGCGGCGCACTGTGTTACATGCCACTGCAACTGGCAACCAGACCCCAAATTACAGCTCGGCCCGTTCGGGCTATTTCATTCCTCCGTTCCCCCTCCTCTCTTTCATCTTCCCCATCGGAGAACTCCCTCTCAGCCTCTCCACCCTGTCATGGAAAAACCACCAAAACCCTGGACCGCGTGTTCGTGATTTTCTGTGCAAATGTTTGAGAGGAAGCTCATGCTGTTTCCCTCTCTACCTCCTCCTTTTAATCAGCCATGTTCCAAGCAAGCATATGTTAGTGTTCCTACTGTAAGGGTTCTGTATAGTCCAAAATAATTTCCCTTTTGAGGCAAACGATATCTATAAATGAAAATGGCCCTGCTGTAGGAAGTCTTCAAATTGGGGCCATTACTTTTTATTCAAAATTTACCTTTTAAATGCTATGAAAACTTAATTTTAGATGTGTAAAAAATACAGTGTATGAGTGCAATAGGCCTTGCCTTGTAGTCTGTACTCTAACAATAATCTAAGCTATCTTCATTAATGCAGAATGGAGAAAACTGGTGAGGTGTGCTGAATGGATAATCATGACATTAAACTCTAAAGTAATGTCTGGAAGGAACACCACAGATGGAAAAATCCAGTTTAATGGTAAGGCTGTTTGCTGATCTCTTTAGTGAGGAAGTGATTACTTATGATTACTTATTTATCTGACCATTGGTTTATAGGTCATAAAAACATTGTACTCGGGGCACCCTATAGCTCACCTGGTGCCATGTACCAAGAATGAGTCCTTGCTCCATGGGTTTTGAATCTGACCTGTGGCCTTTCGCTGCATGTCATCCCCTCTCTCTACCCCTCTTTCCTGTCTATTTTCAGCTATCACTATCCTTTAAAGGCAAAAAGCTCAAAGGATATATATTAAAAAAATATACTGTACTCACCAAAATAATTGATGAGATCTTGGAAATAGTATAAGCAAAGTCAAAGAAATTTGCCTTAACAGGTTTTGGGTTTTTTCCAACCTGTATGACTGTCTGACCACTCGTTCATAGATCTCAGCAACTACCTTGGTAAGTACAATGATGTAGCCAATAGAATAGAAAAGTGTGTATTTTTAATTGCAGTACTCCTACTTGTTGTAAAATATAGTGATGAAACATTTGCAGATGACTGGTATACCTCTCTCTGTAATGGTTCTCGAGAGTCTCCAATAAAACATGCTGACTAATCATTATATTTCATCTCTTTCACAGTTGAAACATTTTGGTATTTGTCAGTGCCTTGGTCAAAGGAGTTGTCTCCAAGGAATGCATTTGCTGATAAGGTACTTACTTGTGCCTCTGCCAAAACAAAAGACCTCACCAATGATTTTCTTCACCCTGCCTGCAAACCTTAATGTGTCTGTTTATCAGTCATCAAAACACATAGCCTGCACTTTCGATCAGATTTACATCAAGGACAAAAGCAGGTTGTTTAACATGTGACAATGTGCAAGGGATCATTCAGGAAAAACAACAGGGTAGATTAAAGTTCAATGGCAGGCAAACAATTAGGTCAACAATCTGAACAGACAAGCACTAAAAAAGAAAATCACCCTTAACTGTCCTCTAGAAGATAATGCCAAATGCATCAGGGTCACACTCAAGTCTACATCAAGTTAAACCATGCACGACAACAACCACGTCCACAGACACAAGTGAACAGAGCAAGCAGGATGAGAAAACTGAGTGGTCCTACGAATGTACCTTGATGCACCCCATGAAACCCGACAACACCACGATACCGGACAACAACATCACAAAACCTGCTAACCATACCAATAAGGGAGGGGAGACACAGAGAAGAGAAAGACTACTGGTGTTTTTACCGTTAGAAGGAGGTAAACTGAGATGCAGGGATGTCCTAGGTTTAGGGTCAGGTAGGGGCTCCTGTTTGAACCCTGAAGGGTAAGGGGATGGGGAGAAAATGAAGCAAAGGGAGGTGGATGGATAAGCCTTTCTGCAGGGGTTGCATCGTGCAAGGGCACTGTGTAAAGTACTGGTTTGTGATGTTGAATTCAGGGATGTGTGGTATCGTGCATAGCATTAGCAGTTTCATGGCTTTGGTTCAAGAATGAACAAAAATAAATCTTCATGATGAGCGATCAAACAATGGTCACGGACCCAAATGTGGCACACACAAGGTCAGATGTTCTGTTTCCTATTATGACTCATGGGTTTATGGTGAACTGAGAGACTGAAAGACCCAGAGTGTGAGTTTCCAACACATGGTTAATTTGGTGCTTAACCACAGTCCATGCCAAGTGAAGTCAGTTCAGTGGTCGTATCACAGCACTCCATTCTTCTCAGTCAAATACAGAGTGGACCGGCACCTTGCTGCTGTGCGGAAATTAGCTACAGGTTTTCTAAAGGTTAATTTTTTAAACCTAAATCCAAGGGTTGCAGGCTTCTGCTTTGCTTGAAGAACACCTTGGGACCCTTTCAAATATTAGCATTGTGGAAGTTCTTGAAAATGCTGACAATTTTTTTTTCTGTGTAATGCTTGACAACAGCAATGATCCCAGCACGTTGTCCATTGTCTGTATTGGACCAGGTCTTGGTCTTATCGTGCTTTGATACCTCTGAAGTAAGGGATGTAGTTGTGCTGCTGCAGCATGGCCAGGGTGGTGGGGTTTAGGTGAAAAGACAAGCCTGCACTACCACCTGCTGGTGTGGGTGAGTACTTGCCACAACCACCAACACCACCACTCCCTTCAGCCCCACCAGAGTAGTACATGGGGAGGGAAGATGAGTCCCTTGCCCAGGTGGAGGGGTACTTAATGGTACCCATGGGGGTTGGTGGCAAAGGGAGAGAACTGGAGTCACGAGCCTGGCTGCTGTGTCTACCACCGAGGTATACATCTGGCCCTGAATATCCGATCAGATCACAGGAAACATGTTGAGTCAAAATTGTGAAGGTATTACGTTTCTTTATAGTTAAGTATCTTTGCAATTTTGGATATAAAAATAAGGATTAGTACAAATCCAGGCAAATACATTTGTGATCCTTTTACATAAGGTTGACAGTCAAGCTGGAATATATATTTTAAAGATGTCTAAGATCTATTGAAAAGATCTCAAATGTTTAAGAGAATTCTACAATCATAATATTTTGGTTGTGTACAAATAAGAGGCTATTTTCATTTGATGAAGTAATCCCTAACATTATCGTCAAAATGGAATGGAATACATTTCAGGGCATTAGTTCTAAGATGGAATGACACTGACATTATTCCAAATCATGGCCTCTATTTATCTCCAGCTCTGTAAGTGTCTCAGAGTAGGAAATCAGTCCTAAATGACCAGAAATTCTTAGTGACACACATCTGAAACTACTTTTAGGCCTAGGGTAAAAAAGCTTTTCATCAACTTTCTTAACTTAAAAAAGGCTCCTATCTTATCTTCAGGAGAGCTCCAGGAGTGAGTTGGCAGGACACGCTGCCCAGACAGAGACATTTTGTGGGAGGGGCGGTGTTTTTTGATAAGGCTTGATTACAACAAGCTTATTAAAAGATAATTTTGACAAAAACTGAATCACTTTGGTCCCTGCAGAAACAAACGTTCCGGCAGAAAATGCTTTGCAGTGATGAATTGGATCTTTTACAACCAATACTTTCTGCAGTTACTAGCCAACTTTTGATCGCTCTTACAGCGTCTAATATAATGCACATTCAGCCAAAACCCTCTTTTAGTTATTTATTCGCCAAAGGCAGGACTATAATAGTTTAGAGATAAGATCATATATGTCTTGCATGTATTTTCCAATAGTGGATGACTTTACAGAAAACTAATTTTTAGTTGGAATTTTACAGTGGAAGTGAAGATTCCTTGTTTTCCATGGGGTGCGCCACAGCCTCCAAAGGGTTTGTCACTCAGTGGACGTACCCTTTGAATTAACACTTTTTAAGCAAGTGGCTTCCCAATGTTTATCTAACAGCCTACTATGCTGTAATATGGGATTTAAGATAAGCATTGATTTTAAGAGAATATTTTTGTATACAGATAAGTAGTGCTATATTCTGCATTTACATTTGTTTTCCATTGACAATTCATCAGTAAAACATCATCTCTACTTTGTGGTTTAATGTGTTATCTCTCTGGAGTCATCCTACTCCTGGCTGGAAAATCAGTGTAGGTAGCTTCATAACAAACTCGCAAGGTGGTAAAATGCTCGTAGTCCTAGGTCAGTACACTTGCTTGAACATAAAGTATCCAAAAAGAATGACTGTCGGGGGAAAAGTTCATTAGGAGGTAAAAATAGCTGACTTTTACTTAGCTTGACAGCCATGCAGTTTTCAGATCATCCAATGGGTTTTGACAGAGTAATATAAGGGTTGCAGAATTTAATCAAGCCGTAGAGAAAGCATGTAATTTAATTTCTGGTTTTGGGTATGGTCACCAGCAGGAAATCTTCTCAAAATGCAGGAAGTGATGAATCATTTGTGATGTTTGTAGCAGATGTTTTCTCCTGAATATAGTAAGCATTTTCCCCACCATCTTGTTCCCTAGCATTCATTCAAAGAGTATGCATGTGATCTTACTCATGGGTAATGTAATCATTCAAAACTCAAACTTAACATAATATATAAGCATATATAAGGATTATATGGATAATGGGGCTGTGTGTGTAGTATGTGTTTGAGGTAGATACCTGGTCGGCTGTAATTCTGAGGGGATCTGGACGGGGTGTAGCGTCCGTAGCCCCCCAGGGAGCTGTTGGAGCTGGGGCTGGAGGGCCTCCGCTGACGGGGTGACTTCTCCCCATCACCCTGGACGCACAAACACATAAAGTAAAAAAAAATATTTGTGTTTCACCAAGAAACAAACATTACCTCACTGCTTAATCACAGCATCAGAGAGGAATGTGGGCATGACTCCATCTCTGATACATTCTTAATGAGACGGATCAATCATGTTGCAGGAAAATATTGTACTAATGTCAAGATAACACAGATGTCAGGGGAAGTATGTCCAAGAGCAGATCTGGCTGATTCAAAACATGTATCGAAAAATGGAAAATACAGTTTTTCAAGTCAGAAATGGACTTAAATACATGTGCCGAACAAAAATGAAGGCACAAAAATATGAAGAGGCAGACACCCTGTAAATGATGATCACTATCAGTAATGTACAGTCAGCAATGGGCTTAGAATACTGACCATCACATCTTTACTTTCCCCTGTTTTATTTGATGGTTGGCATACAGTTACAAAGTGTTTCACTTTTGAAAATAATGCACGTAGACTTATGACTATATTTCAAACAAAATTCAAGCTAATTTCAATTAAAATATTCCTTTGAATACATGGCTGCTGTGTTTACCACAGCACCTACATGGCTACCTAACTAACCACCCAAACTACAAAAATGTTTTCAAATGTTCTCACTTACTGTGTACCCTTAGTGGTATCTAGCCATGCTGATAGTTTTGACTTTGTTTGACAAACGATAGCTTCCGTCAGTTTGATTTATTTGACTTCCAAATAAAGAAGTTTTAGTTATGTGGCTACATTTGGCTCTGAATGTCTGACTGCTTGTGTTTCTTGCCCATTGGATTTCGTAGTAGTGATCACCATGTTGCCATGTCTTAGTAATTATTATCATAACATAACATAAGAAATTACTATAAACATAAGACCAAAGTTGTAATGGACTAATTGTAATTATGCATTTTAATGGATAATTGATCATTTAATTGAATCAGCTAAATCTTTATGGACCATTAAAACACAATAAAACCTTTAAAAGCCCTTACTTCAAACATTTAAACCCAACACAAGCCTTCCCAATTATAGTAATACAACTCCTATATGCCCACACACACACACACACACACACACACACACAGACACAGACACAGGAAAGCACGGATGAAGGATGCGACATCCACAGTGAGACATTGTATTACCTCAGTAGGAGTAGGAGAAAGCAGCTGGGGGGACTGCAAATGAAGAGTGGGAGAAAGCCAATGATTAGGATGAACTCATATGTGAGGTTATATGAGTTAACCATCCAACCATGAAAGTGATCATTCAATGTCGGTGAGTCAGTGAGGACATTCCTGATGGATGGATGAGCGAATTGAAGAGGGTCCAAAGTATACCGTTCGATTTACACGCTCAGGGCTACGAGACTGTGACCGCACAGCAAAGGAATGGAAGTGTTTGTGAGAGAGCAGCAAGCACAGCGCTGATGAATGACTGTTACTGACTTCACTGTCAGAGTGAGGGGGGATGATGGAGGGGTGGCAAGGTGAAAAAATGAAAACAAATCTGGCAAGGGAGAGACTACAAAAGGAAGTCTGCTTAATCAAATAAATAAGAATAAATCAGGTCTATTCAAATCAAACTCTTGTCATTAATCAAATCGCTGGGAAAAACAGGCATCTCACTCACTCTTGGTTTCACCACACACTGTGTATTCAAATTAGAATTGTGTGTATTCAGATTGGATGTTTACATATATTTAAAGTAGCTTCTATCAGCCAAAACACCAGCCAGTATTAGCGTATTAGCCTAGTGTAGCTGTATTGGTATTTGTTGGCTGATAAGTGACAGTAAATGTTAGTATAGAAAGGCCAAAGATCTGTTCGAGGTCATTCACAGTGTCGCCATTACATAATTGGTCCAGACATGTTTATTTCACAGTTCTTTAAAAACAAAATAGAATAAAATAGAATCATAATAATAAAAAAAGGAATATCTGCTGATATATCATTAACACAACCACCAATATCGTGGTTCATCCTAAAAAAGCACAGTCTATAATTTGAATCATTTATTATTTGGTTACCAATTTTTAATAAGAAACCCAAAATAAAGTTTTTATCAACTGTTACTAAAGGCTTAATTAATACATTGATTAAATTGTTTTATAGGCCATTAATAGAAAAAGCTGTTGGGTTGCCAGGTTGTGAAAACTCTCTAGCTAATGATTCATTAATAGTCAAGTCATTAATAATAAAAAATTTAAATTAGAATTCAGTTGTTTACTTTTAGTTCTCAGTTACAAATGTGGATTGGTCATCAGTAATGGGCCGCTGGTTTCTCACTGTCTAATTAGTCATCCAAAGGTCAGTAAGTGATTAATAAAAGGTTCTCATAATAATCATGTCTGAAACTGTAAATGTTAAAATGCTGTTGATAAAGGGACTTTGGTGTGGCTGCTCTGCAGATCAGGTGAAGAGGTCGGAAGGAGGCATTGAATTAAAAAACTAAAAACACCAGCCGGAGAGATTTCTGACAACCTCACAACCCAAAAGTTGTTCTTAGTTTGTAATGCATCTACAAGCTACTAATATATGATTCATTAGCCAGTACATCCTTTATTACAACTGATTAGCCCTTTATAAAGGTTGTCTTATTAGACAGTTAATCATTGAGATAGCCATACTTGATGACAACAAAGAGGAAGAAAGAAATTTGAGCAGTGGAAGAAGTATTCTGATTCATTACTAAAGTCAGCGCTGCAAAAAAAAGGAATTAAAGTATCAAAAGTAAATGTACTCATTATACATCCAGAATGACCACTGTGTGCACTGTACATTATAGGTTTTCCAAATCTTAAGCTGAAGTGTAAAAATATTTACAAAGATGTATTATACTTTAGTCCAGAGCTAGACTAAATGTACCTGGTTAATTTCCACCTCTAGATTAGAACGGTGGTTCTCAAACTGTGGTGCGCTCCCCCTGCAGTGGCTCTGTGCCCCTGCAGGGGGAACGCACGCAGTTTGAGAGCCCTTGGATTAGAGAGGCATAAAGATAGAAAGAAGTACTGAAAGAGGCTGGTCTACCTCTCCGTAGTGCCTCTCCTCAGATGGGTAGCTGACGTATGGAGAGTAGGACAGCATGTCAGGCCTGTCTATGTTATAGATGGCCTTGGTCTTTGGAAGGGCTGCCAGGTCTTTGTAGTCCAGCATCTCCTCTCCTAGTTTGGCCTGGCAGCAGAGAGAAGACATTTATCCATAATGTACTGATATTTAATACATTTTCCTGATCTTATATATATGACTACAGATAATTTATGAGACTGCTTGGTAAAAGGCTGAACTATGTGCTGCTGCTGCCCCCTGGCGGTGAGTAGCGGTGGTGCAGTCTTACATAGATGACTCTGCTGGGGGAACCCGAGGCGCTGGAGGCCGGGACTGAAGTGATGCTCTCAGATGAAGTCCGGGTCACCTGAAACACATACACACACAGCTATATTTAAACACACTGGATGTACATAGGTTAAGGGAGGCGATAGAGACATATTAGGTACACTCATTGTTTATTCATTTAAGCTCATGCTTTGTGTAAAGAGTTATTTGTCTCAGATTTTCAATTGAAATCTGCCTTCTTTTCCTTTAAGCAACCACATTAAACACTCTTCAGTGCAGCATGTGGTACAGTAGTTAGTTTTTTTTTAGAAATGATCCATGGTTAGGCTTATTTTGTCTGTAAAATGTCAGAATATGGTGAAAAACACCTCTCCCAACTACTCAGAACACACGCTGATGTCTTGATATTGGTTTAGTCCAACCAACAAATAAAAAATCAAAAAGAGAAATTAGAGAAAAGCAATTAGCCTATAAACACCATCCATTGCTGCCTGCCTCAGTGTCCTTTAATACTGTCCTGTGGCTTTAACATTAACTCTTAAATACATCCAAAATATCATTATCTTAACATAAACTTAACTGTACCCTTAATTGAGTCTAATCGCAACCTTAAAATAACATTAAATCAAGTTAAGAAAGAAATTATTGAGGATTTTGAAAAAATTGTTATTTGATTTTTTGCATGAACTGCAGAGCTAGCTGTTTTCCTTATGCTAAGCTAGGCTAACCACATCCTGAACACACAGACATGAGATTTATTTTATCTTCTCATCTCACTCGAGGAACTCGAAATTTTTTTAATGTATATTCAGAAACAATTTTCAACTTTACCCTAAATATAAATCATGGACTTTTTTTTTTATTATTGTTGGTACATTTTGTCCATCCCCAGCAGTACAAGAGCAAATTTTAATAAAAAAAAAAAAAATCAGTGGTGCTCTTAGTGAAGCTGTGCCGGGCGATTCACAGCTGTTGTTAAAGCACACAAGTTGAACACAGAGAGTGGACTTTCCCCTTCTTTCCCCTAAATATTGGTAGAAATACTAATTATTAAGGTTTCTCATCTTTCATTATCAGCAGGTAAATCCTCTCTGACTGTCAAGTTGTGTGAGTGTTACTCTACAGATACAGTTGATATACCCCACAGATGCAGGTACTGACACACAGCAGTCATCTCTACTTGCTTGTTAAAGCATCCCTGTACATGCACCAACTGATAATCAGCATCATCAGTCCAATCCACGGTCTTTACAGTAGGTGGCCTGTGGGTGTGGCTGCTGAATAACCTGAAGCAAATATAGGCTAGTAGTAAGGTGTCAACAGTTAGGATCAACCCATGCAGCAGATGGTTGTGGGTGGGGGTTGAGCGGGGTTTGGGTGGGTGCAGGACGTACAGGAACACCAACCTGTTGCTCAGGGACGTCAGTGAGCTGTATCCGGACCTGCTTCTGGGGAGGAGACGGGTTATGATGAGGAATGAGGATGGGAGATGGAGGAAGGGCAGATACTGGTTGTAAAGCTGCAGGGCTGCTGATACAATGGTATAATAATGTTATTTTGTCCTGAACTCTTGATTAAACTCCTCTTGACTGTGATCAGTCAGTCACATCCTCCTTACTGATTTTGGGAATACTCTTTTATGCTGTGCAGAAACCTGAGGACAGGTACAGAGTGTCTGTATGGGTCTCAGTGACAGGTGATACATGTCTCATTGTCCACTGATCTAACTGGAAGCGATGTGAACGAGCAAATATCAGCTTGTTTCCCTTTTTTTCCCAATGAAGATATCCTAACCTGCTCCGTGTGCCAGTGAATAAGAGTAAAGCGCCACTGCTCGCCCTGGTTCTGATTTTTGCATAGTTTCACACACTTTCTTCACCTCCAGCCTGATAAAACAAAGTTTGAAGATAAGTCTGGCTATGTGAGACTAGTCAGCATTCAACATGTTCAGGGCTTTCTGCCAGAAACCATTATGACGGGACTATTTTACAAGGTTAAGAAGCAGTAACCTGACTGCACCAGATGGTTTGTTACTGTTGTTACTGTTTGGAAAAGGGCAGGCACTTTCAAAAAATACTCCAGTCGGGAGAAGAGCAAAAACATCTTTTCCATCAAGAAGAGCCTTCAGTACCATCCTTTGCTTTTCTTTCAATGAAGAAATACTCTACAGTTCTGATAGAACTGCCCTCCCCGTAGCTTCTAGTACTTCCTCAAAGAAAGCTGATTGGTCCAGTACCACTGTAGTTGGACCGTAAATGCACAGTTTGAACCCTACAGTTTGCTCGCCTGCTGTATAATTGGAAGGGATTGGAGGGAAGCAGCACGATCAGTTTTCATAAACACAAAGACATTGCAGACAAATAGTAGGCACTTATGCCGCTTACTGATGGTCTCCCAAAGGAGTCAAGACTGAATTTCAAAGGGTTTTAGTGCTTATCAGGGAGGTCAAAGACAAAATTGGAACCTTAGCCTTCAGTTCCAACCAACCTATCTTATCTCTCCATTTACAGCTATACCATTCAGAAACCAACAACATCTCAAAACTTCCCATATGGCATCCAAGTGTTTTAAGAAATGAGGTGCTGTGGTTTAATGTGGATCTATTTTAGTTCTATTTGGGGATTTGTGACGCAATAGCCTCCAGCATTGAATCAATTTAGATAAGTATGCAGTTGTGGCTCTGCGGTCTTTTCCACCCACCTTACTCTTCTCCTCCTGCTTGGCTGCTTGTCTGCATGGAGGGTGCCAGATGGAAGATCCTGAAGACACAGAGACAGAGACAGGAACTGAGAAACTGAGATTTTAATTTCCTTTCACATATCCATTTGCTTTTGTCGCTAGCAGCTTGGTTCTTGGTTCGATATTTTCGCAGCAACTAGGCTTCATTTTGTTCAGCCCATCGAACAGAAACAAACTCATTCATACACATTCACACACCGATGCTATGCATCGGGAGCAACTTGGGGTTCAGTATCTTGCTCAAGCAAGAATACTCTCGACTGTGTGCGAGGAGGAGCTGGGGGGGGACCTGAACCAAACCCCACCTTCCGATTAGTGAACGACCCGTTCTCGGCCACAGCCGCCCGCAACAACACTCATAACTCCATCTCCTTCATCTGGTTGCATTTACATTTTTTTCCCTTGGTTGAGGGTTTCAGAAATTAAATTATTTCCACTACTAAATCATTTCACCCTGACGTGACAAAGTAGCAGTTAAAGAGGGGCTGGAAGTACATGGAGCACCCAAAGGCCGAGCACCCTAAGCTGCCCTACTTAATAGTGTCCAGCACATAGCAGCAGTAAATATACTCTCTAGGAGTGTGGCCCGGTGTGACTCAGGCCACGGTGTAGCCATGATCTTCATTCACGGGCAAGCCCGCTAACCCAGGTTTATTAGGAACATGAAGGCTCGCACAACTCGCCATTGGTTTATGGGTGATACTATTTGGTGTTAGTGATAAGGAAATAGGGGTGTTGAGAGTTTTAGCTAGAGACCCGAATGAAGAAAACAGTTACTAGACCCGTTTAGCTCTAAACAATACCAGTCATGTGTTTTAATGATTAAATGCATTTGTGTCCAGACATAAACAGCTAGCAAGCAGCCCTGATGTTTGGATTAGAAGAACAAATTTTAAACTGCTTTTACCTTGCCAGATACATTTCTTCTCCCCCTCCTGGGCAACATCCTGCTTCAACAGCGGACACAGCGGGCACAATGTGGGGGATGGTTAGGTGCCTTCTTCTCCAGCCGTTGAGCCATAAACAAGACAGGTTAAGGACAATGTAAAGGGAAATTAAGCACCTTTGTTGGTTTTTTTTTTGGGGGGTTCTTTCCCTTTCGGGGAACTTATTTAAAAGGGGTACTCTTGAAATTCAAGTTTGTAATAACCTTGTTGGGATTAACCCTTCCCCCCTTGGGACTGGCAAAAATCCCAAGTTTTTAGAAAAGGTAAAAATTGTAAGACTTTTAGCCCCTAACGTAAATGAAAGTTTTCCACAACCAAGCTCCCAAATACTACCATTTGCCCATCCCCCATAAAAACCACTCACCTCCCCTTAATAACTGCAACATTTACCTTTTGAAATTAAAATCTTTCTTGGTATTCACTTAAGGCATTCCTGCTATGTAAACACCACACACATTGGCATACCTTTTTTTTTACCCATAACCTCAACCACTTCTAACGCCACACCCCAACCAGTTTTATTTAATATTTTTTTTCTTATTACCATGGGGTTTTCTTCTTGTTTAATACAAATTTAACCGATCCAAGACACTTCCCAGATCACACCCCCTGATTTGAAACCCTCCCATACAACCCGATCCTCCGCTCGCCGGCTATTTTTTGTCAGACTTTTCTACCAAAAGTCTCCTTCCAGACGGTCCCGACGCTGTACTCCCCATGCGTGGAAACATTCCCCTCCAAAAACTCAGCAGTGGACCCTTCTCCTAAACACAACCTTCGAACACCTCAACCACCACTGAACAACCCCCCCAGCTCTCTTCCCTAACTAAATCAGTACCTTTCTGGCCAAGAAAGCAATTTTTTCCATAAGGAAACAAAAGAATTAAAAATTTTGTTTATTTTGGAATGAAGTTTTAACTCCCATGGGATAAACTCAACACATCGAACATTAACCTTTTTTTTGGAAAACTAAAGTACCTATTTTCAAGATTTTGTACTTTCTTCTTATTTTCCATAACCTACCCCTCGGAACTATTCGACTAAACCCATTCGACCTAAAGTCCACACAACATTCTTCACTTTTTAATTATTCTCTTTCTTTAATCAATCAAAGAAAGCTACTATTAACCTCATACGTAACTTTTCTCTGGAACGTCAAACAAAACATGGTGCCCCAGGTTAAACCCAACCTCAAATATAATTCTTTTTTTTAGTCAACCACTGGGACGGACCATTCATCTTTTTTAGTACTACTTTTTTCATCCCCATGAAACCCCTTCACCAACCTCTTCTCTCTAGCAACACTACATGGCGTTTTTTTTTCTTTGTCCCTTATCGTTCTTTCCTCGGCCAGCGAAATCCGGCTTCCATAACATCGCAGGCAACAGTCCACAAACTACGCAACCTCTTTCTCCACAAATCATCCATCACTCCAACCTCCACTAGTAGCCCTATTTTCAACCTTCACCTATTTTTTCTTTCCCACTTAAAAATGAGAACACTGGCAATATAAATTCCCATAGAAAGAATAATCCCCTGATAAACCTTTAAACTTTTTTTTGGTTGTTGAACTAATGAATAGACAATTTTTAACACAGACAGAAATAAAAACCCAACACAACTCCGTGCCACAGTGTTGGGCGGTTTTGAAAAATAATAGACAAACCAAGAAACCAAGAAGATGTGCCCAAAACACATTTTATGAATTTTAAACTGTCCCCTCTAATCCTTTGGTCTCCATTCACCTCCAGAGCTCCAATAATGCGCCCTCTCTTTTCCATAAAAAATATTTTAATTAAGGAGGGGGAGCAAATGAGCAATTCCCCTTTAAAAAAACTTTTTTCCCATCCCCCCACACCTACCAATCCCAAACTTAACTTGAAAAAATTACCAGATACATCTTGGGTGGGGTTTTGTGGGCCTTGTAAAACAAGCTCCAAACCAAAGCTTATTATGCCCAAAAATGCCCTGAGGCAGCACTTTATTTACAGAATTTCCATAATTAAGCTTTCATTAAAAAATGCTGGATGCAGCATGAAAAATAACCAGTTCCCCGGGAAGTGTTGGCTGAGCTAATTGTTTAAAATTTCAAGTGGCAATTTCAAGCCACTTGATTTAAAAGGGAAACCCACCAGCCCTACAAATGACAACCATAGAAAAAAGGTTTTTGTTGATTTTAAATTGATTTAGGCCCCAGGCTGGAAGGAAACTTTGTTTATGGTTTTTTTGAAAGTTAAATAGAAGCAAACTGCAAAAGAAAGAATGGCAATCAAGTTACATGGAATACTTCAAACGAAAGGCATTTTCAATCTTCATTTGGGGCCCCCTTCTTGAATTACCAACTGAAAATCAACAATAATCATGAAAAAAATGAAAAAAAAATCCCAAGGTGCATGTAAATAGTTTTTGTTTTTTAATCTTAAACAGCTTTTTCAAAGTATTCAAGTACCAAAATGTTTAAATTTCCACTGCCCCCCACACATGAATAATGTTCCAAAAACACATTGGGTTCCCCCCGAATAAACCCAAACTACTGGAAGTCCGGCCAGTGTTCTTGGAAAACCATTCTTTATCATGGGACCCTGGTGTGGGTTTTTAGCCCAATGGAGATGGCCATATTTATTGTAGCTTTGACATTTAAGAAGCTAATTGGGAAGGTTGATATGGCTTCCCCTTGCCCAGAGCTTTGAAGTAAGCAGCCCCCACAAGGCCAGTTTGGGGTGAAAGGGGACGGGGGGTCGTCATTTCTATGAAAGGAAATGGGATTGCGTTCGTGATTATTTCTGTTTGAGTATCTAGTGGTTAGGATTTTGTTTTTTTTTCTGGGCTTTGGTTTCCCAAAACCAACAGGGCCACTGGGAAAAATACACGTTAGAAAGGGTTCTTCTTACCTGGGGTCCCCTTTTGTAACCCTAAAAAAACCAACGGCTGGGAAAAAACAGCTTGGGCCAGGTCCCAAAAACGCTGCTTTCCCACGCTGGGTTTTTGAAACTTGGTTCCTCTCCCTCCTATTCTCCCTAATTTGGAGAAAACTGCTTATGCGGGTCTAACTTATCCCCTTGGGGGTTCCCCATCCTTTTCAAGATTCCCTGATTCCCCCTATTTCCAAACATTTTTTGCCTGTTACTGCACTCCCGTCGGTTTTTTTCTTTTGGGTTGGGTTTTTCTTTTCTTCCCATGGGGCCCATTTTCGGGCATTTTGTTTTTTTTTGTGGGAAGAACCTTGGTTGAGAGATATCTTCTTTGGGGGAACAACTCAGATGAAAAGGTTGCCCAGTGCCCCCTGTTCTCATTCTTTTAGTTTCTTTTTGTTCCACAACGGCTGGGGTTTCAGGGTTTGGGAAAGTTTAGCAAACCCTTCGGGGGTCCAACAAACAGATTTTTTTCTTTCCTTAAAAAAACCTCCCCTCTCTCTTCCTCAACAAACAACATTCACACCAGTCCCCCTTGTTTTGAAAGATAATTTTCAAAAATACCAATCTCCTTGTCTTTTGCTTCACGCTGGTTCTTTTCTTACCCTCAAATACTAGTGGGCTCTTTTAAATTTCCTGTGTTTCTTTGGTGACAACAAAAAAACATCATTGGAAATCAGGAATACTTTACTCTTCAACTCTGTCTGGCAGCATACATTCTTTATTTTAAAAAGCACATATGGAAATTCTGTTTAATAAGAACTCAATAATCAAGCTAAACGACTCAAGTATGGATAGCTTTTTTTCTTTTCTTTGCCGGATTTCAACCCACATCCTTATTCCTTCTTTTTTTTTTTCCCCCCCTCAAAACAACACAACCGTCATCTTGACCGCTCTCGCCTGACTCTTCTCTTCCTTGCCTCCCCAACAAGGGAATCCGCGGCCGGCGCCGCGCGCCGCGCCGGCCCTCCCGCATACACAGCATCAATTCAACAAAAGACAGGAACAACAAAATAGCAACAATATAACAGAAAAACACAGAAATATAACACAAACAAAAAATAACATAGAAAGAAAAAAGAAAAAAAAATAAACGGTCTGCGCCCCGGGCCGCCCCCGCGGCCGCGACCGCGTCCGCGGGCCGCACTTCGGGTCGCCGCCCGCCGCGGGGTTCGATGCGCCGCCGCTCGGTGTCGCGCCCCGCCGCCTCGGGCCGGCCGCGCCTGCGGGTCCACGTCGCCCACCCTGTCCCCGCGCCCGTGCCCGCGCGCGCGCACTCAGACCCACCCGCCCCCGCGGCCGGCCACCGCACACACAGCCGGCGCGGCGCCTCCCACCACCCCTATTCTTTTCTTTTTTGATAACTCTTGCCTACAATGCTTATCTTGGAACCCAAATGGACAACGCCAGATGGGAAGGACAAAGCCACCCGAGAACAATGAAGAACTGACCAAAAAAAGGAGCAGGAGACAATCAGCGCTCCAACAGGTATCCTAGTGCTTGCAGTTACAGTCTGCCACGCCATCTCTGTGCTCTAAAAACTTGGCAGACTTTCGTCGGGTTGCTTGGTCGGACGCCATGCCCCAAAAGCTTCAATACTTTCGAACTCGGACTCGAAACCAGTAGACCAGATTTGACAACTTACGCGGAAAAACCATCGGAAGGCCCGAGGAGACTAAAACAGCCGGCAACTGGATTTTGGAAAATTCAACATGGGACGTTCGAAGAAGGCGGAAGGAGATTAGCACCTGCTCAAATCCTTCCCTTTGTCCCAGAATC